ACTAACTTTTAAAATATTTTAAATTAGTATTTCAATATTTTGTTAGATTTCTGTATGCAATCTTTTAGCTGTCTAAAAAAAATACAGAACAGTACTCCACACCAAAAGACGCTTTCAGTCAAATATAAAAGATGAAATATTATTTTATCTAAGCTGAGTTTATAGTTTTTGTGGATAAGGAAAATACTACATTAAGAAATGTGACATGCCTTTGATTAGTTTTGTATTACTCTTTGTTTATTATATTGCTTTGATATTCATCCCAAAATCGATATACCCCTGCTGCCTCTAAGCAAGGGGTATAAAAAGTAGCATACTGTAAATCAAAAAGTAACTTGCCTGCCATACGGATGTCATCCGTTGCAGCTCGTTCGAGCGCAAAATTTAACAATGACACAAACGCACACAAAGTTTGCTGTGGGCGGTGGGCGGGTTGTGGGTGGGGCTAAATGCCACATGCTCACCACCAACACCACCCCCTGACCCACCCCCTCCCCCTCATCACACCCAGCACAAGATAATACCTAAACACACCTAAAAACCTACAGACAACGGGCTTTGGCTTTCGGCCTTTTGGCAGCAACATGTTTGCCATAGGGGCAGTTTTGGAGAGCGAGTTGCTCATGCAGAAGCTGTCATGTCCAGCACTCGGGGAATCCCGGGAAAAGGGAGTCAAAGGGGGATTTTCAAGGGGCGGGGGGGACGTCCACCGTATACGGCAACACTTAAAAGTCACACGGGCGTGGCAAGTTAAATGAAATGCACAATTGATGTGGCCATTGTGCGTCTCCGCTCTCATTGTGTAGGTGATGTGAAGGGTCCTTGGGCGAAGGTCCTGCCAGTGACAGGATGTGCGTGTAAGCCAGAACGGAACCATATGGATTCAAAGGGGATTGGTCTACGAATACCTGCCCCAGATGATGACTGCTCCTTGGGTTTTTCACTCGGCTGGAAATCGAGACAAAAACCGAACAAGTAGATAGCTTTGGCAACAGCTGTCGCTTTCTCTTAACCCTTGCCCACCGTCGGCAAAAATGTCACCAAGGGGAAGGAAATGTGGCAACAAGCAAAGTGTAAAAAATTTCAATCAATAACCGTAACGATAACATTGTCAGCAGGAAAGGCATTCCAAAGTGGAGATGGAAAGTCAATGAAAAAGTGAGCGAATATTAGTTACTCTTCAACAAAAAGTTATTCAAATTCTTCTATGAAAAGACATATACTTATAATTTGATTTGCCAAAAGCTAAAAGCATTTATTTTCTAAGTTAACAGCTAAAAAAAATACAAGACTAATTCCAAATATTTCAAACAATACAATAGCTTGCAGACAATTAAAATAATATATAAATTAGTGGGCTTTTAATTTAATTCTTTAAATTTTCTACACTAATTAGAAGAGTTGTACTTCTCTTTATAAGTTAATAACGCATCTTCAACAAGAATTTTGTATATAATAAAGCTATATAGAATAGTGCAACCACCCGACTAGATACACAAACGTCTCTAGCTTCGTGCAACTCTTTTGGCGTACATTTGCAATAAATTTTGCCGCCTGTTGACAAGCCGCAAAGTATACTTTAAAGCGGATAAACCCGTGTCTCCTGTAGCCCAAGGAAGAAAAGGAGGCGGGGCGGGGGTTCAAAGGGTACTCGCTGGCAAACGCGATTTTTATCGCAATTCAATAGAGTTTCCGTTACATTACGCCGATGTCCTTTGTCTCCAGCGAAACTGCGGAACTAACAGCGCCACATTTTGTATCCGTGCGACGTGTCAACGTGTATTGCTTCCGCTCGGATCCTGTTTTCCAGCTCCTTCCTTTTCCCAAAAAAAAAACGTATCCTCGTGATGTTATTGCTTCTGTGTGCGCCGTGCACCTTGTGCCAAAGGACAAGACACGCCGGGAATGTTATTGAAATTTTATGTTGTCTGCGATTTCTTTTTTTGCCGGTGGATTTACATTTTGTGACAGCTGATTTATGGCCTGACGTGGGATCCTTAAAGAGCTTTACAAAGGATGCGACGGGGTAATTAGCTGAAAAAAAATCGTTAATAACCTTGCCTATGAAAAAACTTGAATTGAAGAAAATCGTATTACCAAATACATTTCTCTCTTATGTGGAAATATTAACCTGTGCTCTTTAAAGAGCTCTTCAAAGGATGTTCATGGCATAATTAGGCTGCCGCAAATGGGGTTCGTTAGCGCCCCATTCCCCACAGCAAAAGAATCCAAAAAAGGGGTTGCCTGGATAAACTTTGTGCCTTCTTCTTTTATTTTTGTTTCAGCTTGCGGAAATTGAATTAACTGGCTCAGCCCCGCTGAAATGTCAATCGAAAGTACTAAAGGCAGTGGGTGAAGTCACCTTGAGAAGAGGCTCATTAGGATTCCGTTTCTGGCGGCGAAGTTATCTGCGCTTGTTTACCTTGAAATTAAAAATGCAAAGATTCCTTCCAAGATATTTCCTTCGCCGGCTTTCGGCGGCATCTGCAGCAGGCCAGCTGAATTATTTATGGCACTTGCCGGGAGTCGAACAGAAACAGATTACAAGATTAAATTATTGTAACAAGAGCATTACGCAACTACTTTGCATAATTTACCGCAGAAAAAGAAGGACGGCGAAAGGCGCAGAAATAAAAACATTCATCTTGGCCCTAAGTCGGGACTTCTTGGCTGTGTTAAAATATGTATACAATAGGTAAAGCTCTCTCTTTTCGTCCTTTTGAGCCCCAGACCAACATTTTCGTAGGTGACAGTCGAGGTCCCACGAGGCGTATACGTAACTTGCAGTGTTTACAACAATTTGTCACTTTTGCTCAGAGACGTAGAAGTAGAAAAAGTAAGTTCGCAAAAAGGGGGAATCGCAGACTGCATGCCAGACTCCTCGGGAATGCCTAATTTGCATTTTAATTTAATTTTTTCCATACCGCGAAATGTCAACAGACAGGAGACTCGACTCGACTTGAGTCACTTGCAGACATTTTTCACCCCTCCAAGGAGTTTTCCTACTGCCTGTGTTTGTCTTTCTGGGTTTTTCTTGGCGCACTTTTAATTGAGCCCTGCATATGCATGAGCTCGTGGCAACTCTATTAAAGCGAATGCCAACGCTTTGAACTTTAGCCTGTGACTCTTGAACTTCCCACAGAATCAGCGAAAATCAATGCTCAACTTTCATCGATTGTCCGCCCATAAAACGTGGATATAAAATAAAAAGTATGGTTGTAATCCAATACGGGGGATAATACTCTGATATCTGCCCCTGCCCACGGGGGCTGTAAATTTAACAGAAATTGTCAGGACCAACCAATCGTGCAACCGTTATTACCTGTTGACCTCCACCTCCTTGGGGCACTCATTGTGTCCTGGCCACTTGGCGATGAACGTGCTGCCATTGCGGTTGCATTCCGCTTCCGTCTGGGTCACGGCTCATAATTCTTTAAATTTATGAAGTGTAACCGGAGAGGAGTCTGGCTCGGTTTTTGCACAAAGAGCGGAGTAGGGTTAAGCTTTGCATAACCAAAGGTAGATGTAAAATTCAGAGGGCTTTAGTTGAATTCATTGAATAACTACAGGTTTTTGCCTTAAAGTTGCATTACTTTGACAGATTGAAAAAAGTTGGACAAAATTTAAAAAAGGGCTAAATTTATTTTGAATTGGCAATCTCTTAGGAGTGAAAACTCTGTCGTAAAAACCTGTATTCGAAATGAAAAATATTAATCATCAATACAACAGTTAGGACAGTCTTAAAGCTCGCTGAATTTGTAGTACAAGTTAAAGCAATTTATTGTAGTATCATCTCAGACCAAGTAGCCCCTTTCATCGTTCACCTACCTTATATTCCTTGCCAACCTCATCTCTATCTAGATCTCGTCTTGTGTCACGTGACGACACTCACCTAATTTGAGAGTAGCTCTTAATCTGCGCACAATGAGATAAATACCTTTTGTGGTGCCGGTGGTTAACCGTAGAGTGCCCCGCCTTAACCCACTGGGGCCCACCCCGCTGACGTGTTTTTGTAATCCGTGGGCTGTTACCGTTACCAAGGCACTTGGCACGCTCCCGAATTGCCACTTGAAGCAAATTGCTTTGGAGCAGAACTTTCGAGACTTTGGCACGAACAACTCGGCGTTTATTACCTGTCGGCCGAGTCCACCGAGTCGCACACCCACTTTCCTCCCCGAAGGTCGCTTATCTGAAGTTGTTAATGTATTAATTTGAATTCTTTATGAGCCAAGGAGCAGCAGGTTCGTCCCAAATATGTTTGACATGGCAAATTTAGTGGAAAATTGCCGCATGTCGCTGGCCAAGTACGAGTATGCAAGTGAAAATGCTACGTGACTCCGTTGCAAATAAAAAGTCAACCAACTGGGGGAGACAAATTGGCCAGCTTCTGGAGCTCAGCAAACCCGAAGGCAGTGCAAAATTTAAAAAACAAATCACACCTACAACCGGCCAAGACAAATTTCCAGACGGTCCACTATATACGTGTATGTGTACGTAAGGCCAGGACTAACGTCCTGTCGGTAATGGAGTGGACTTTATTTGGGCTCCTTGTTTGCCGCTCCACGCTCGACTGCCCGTACCTTTTGCGGCACGCTCCGGCGACGAGCGGCGCATTTGTCAGACTCCGTCCGGATTGGGACACAAAAGTACGGACAGGCTGAAAAATGTATAGGGGATTGCATGTGATGTGCACTCGGAGAAAAAGAAAAGGACTTTTGGGTAAAAGTTAAATAACACGACATTCTAAGGTCTGTTGCTTTAACGAATTGCTTCTCTATTGAAAGAATATAAAAATGTAAATTATATTTGTATTTTGTTAAATTGCTTACTATTTAGTTGTTTTTTTTTTTTTGCTTTTTTTATAATTTCCGGAAGTCGTTCAGCGTAGGTAACTCGATATTTTGTATTTAACTGTATTCTACCGCCCTACAAGTGCGGAAAGGTATGCGTAGCAAACAAACTCATTCCACAACTGTCAACTGTTGGTTTAACTCACATTCCATTTGTCTTTCATTCCATTCCTTTACTCTACACATCACACAACAAATAAATTCTTCAAAATATTTCTTGATAGAAAACACATTTCTTTCGAGAACTGAAATTTCTTCACGAAATTTGCTGCAAATGGACAAAGAACTACAACAGCTGATCCCCGAAAGTGATCTGGATGGTATTGGAGGTTGTGAATTTGAGTCGCGATATTGCCTGGATGAAAAGACCATTCTGTCTCCGGTTGTGGGTAGTTTTCTTTCAGAATAATATTTTTTATTATTTAAAACCCTTATAGATACCCTGCTTGAACAGCAATGAAATGGTAGGCCTTCAATTGGGCGTCATGGCCAATCATATGATCCTCATGAGAAACATGTTGTGTAGTCCGCAAAAATCAGTTAAGTGCCTAATAACGGCGCCAAAAACTGAACAAAAGGATGCATCAACCAGTACTCAAATGTTTCACGGAAATACATCTTTGATTGTGTTAGGTCGCCTTCGTCAAAAGTTAGAGCAATCGGAGACCATGATCTATGACCACACTGCCAATAAGGTAATACAGATTTCGGCCCCTAGGAATTTGCCAATTTTGAAGACTTCCCAGCTTGTGTTGGAGGATGCTCCACAAACTCCACCACAGCGAGCTGTTATCAAGCTTACACCCGTAAAATTAGCCACTTCGGAGAATGGATGGGTAGCCAAATTGGATCCACCAAGGACTGAAAGTACCCCATCAAGGGAGTTAGTCACAGAGCCACTGCAGCGCTGCACCACAAGTCCTGATCTTTTCAGGCTGCACCGCCAACTCTGGCGTAGAATCCCCATACAGAATCCAACTCTGCAGCTTACCTTAGCTGTTAAAAGTAACCTGCAGGTTACCAGGACTGAAAGCAATAGGGCTTCTAAGGGCAGGGGTCCCAGCCTGATTCCCAAACTGATTCCCTACCAGGGGATCACCGTTCCAAATGTGCCCAGTTTGCCTAATTTGGCCAAAACTCGGACTCCTGTACAAGGGCAAGGCAACAGAGTGAGCCCAAAACGCATGAATTTGACCAAGAAAACTGAGGCAACGCCTGCAAACAGAAAGTCCCCATTAAAAACCACCATCTTGAACGTGCCAAAAAGCATCAGTACTCCAGTGGCTGCCCACAGACGTCCTGGATGTGCGGAACCAGACCTCCAGCAACAGAAGAACCTTCTTGAATCTCTGGTCTACCGGCAGTCGAAGGATAATCAGCGTCTAAAGACCAAATTTCGAGAGCAACAACAGGGACTGATGGCCCAAATGCTCGGTGATCTCAACCAAGCCATCGAGATCTCCAATGGACAACCCCAGCAATTTCAGCCATAATTGATCCAAGGACCGCAGAAACTATATCAAAATTTAAACGTTCCGGAATGCACTCAGAGAAAAACTGAGGAACAGCAACAGACAGGGGAATCATATTACATAATCTTCTGCCAAGAGTTTTCAATTTTCTTCGCTCGTTAATTGAAATTGAAAATTCTTGACTGGAGCATTTCCAACTAAATGGAGAGTTTACATCGAGTTGCGACAAGTGTATGTCAGTATTTCAGAAATCTGTGTATATATAAGATGTCCCCCTAGTCTTGTATTTTAATAATAATTTTTACAAATATTTTTGAATGGATTTTTATTTAGTTGCTGGTAGTTGCTTTTCTAAAATCAAAGTATTGGTCAACATATTTTTAGAAGTTTCGCTATGATTATAAGTTCATTGAATTAAAATGTAAATAATCTAAGTTCTCAAAAGGTTTTCAATTAAACTACTAAATAATTATAACCTGTTCAAATCTAAATCGATCTAAGAACTTTAAACTGATGGAGAAATTTTTAATTTATACCAAACTTTAAAAATTGAAATAGCCTGTTCCAGTTTTGGATTGCAGCACGATTTTCGGTGAATTTTCTAAACGTGAGACCAGTCGACTTATGGCATAATCCGCGAGTCCGTCGGGGACAAATATAGCGGGCATCGAGCGAGTCTAATTGCGCCCAACGTCTGCGGCATTGCCACACAAGTTGCACCGCAGTTCGTCCCACTCCCGGACCACCTGCCCGGTCGTCTCACATTGATGTCTCTATAAGAAAGTTCCCCCGAGCCATTTCTCAACCCGGCTCTTTTGCCCACATTCACTGGCGAATTCGCTTGGCCCGTTTCACTTGGCGCGCCCATAACTTGACGTGTTATTAAGTGTAAAAATTACAATTTCATAAATTGTTATGCTTTATTTAGAGTGCGCCGAGCGTTTGTTGGAAGAGCATTTCCACCGAGATCCCTCCACGACTCCCCAGTTTCCTGATCCATCGCATTGCCGATGCGTGTGGTTTTGTGTGATTTGCGTGCTTCGGAAGCTGACGATATTGAGACTTAAGTGGACATAATTAAAAGCACTTAAGAGTCGCCACAGATCGCACCGACTGAGATATAGATATGGCCAAGAGGATGAGTGAAGGCATAATGGTGAAAAACACATTGGATGGTGGCCAAATTTGCCAAGCAATTGGCAGATAGTGGAAAGATCACAGACAGTGTCTAGATTAGTGGCTATATTAAAGCGCTTTGCCTTGGGCCTCCATTTTTCCTGCATAAAAATCACATCAGATCAAGATACACAGAAAACAAATCCGATTTTAATTTTAATACCAACTCTGAATTGAAAGGTAGCTCAGTGATATTAATATCATTCTGTCATATATCTTATAAAAAACTTCCTTCATTTATAATACTTCTAAAATTAAGCCAGACGCGTATCTCATCTCATTAAATTTGAAAATGGGAAAGTAATGAGGTATGATAATTCCCACACACGCGAATTATCCATAGGCAAATGAAGTTGGAAATAGTTGACTAATCTCATGTTTTTTCACTTGGCTAATCACACAAACTGGAGAAAACTTGCATGGCGCAAACAAAAATGCCATGAAAATCATTTTGCGCTTTCACTTGGGAGCATGGGTTTATTAAATGAAGTGCACATGAAACGGGCATTTGGATTTCATGACTAGAATAAACATAATCAAAGTAATAACTCGAGCAGCTTTTGCACCCTCTCCCACAAAAACCGCTCGCCACCCCTGGAAAACATGTGAAATTAATCTTGTTTATGTTTGTGGAAGAGGAGAGAGCCAAGAAAGTTTTCTCTAAAAGTTTTCGGTTGCCTTTTTGCGCAAGTTTTCTTTTCAGCGGAGGGGGGAGGGGGCAAGAGGAAAGTGGAGAAAAGTTTTCAGTTTCGAGTGAAAATAAATAAAATCGAATGATTTCACTTTTGTTCCAGGCACGTAAATAGTTTTGCCTGCCACAGGGATAACCATTCAAGTGCAAATGCGAAATTTAATTAAAATATTTCTGAGGCGTTTAAAAACGCACTCGAAACGCTACATTTTCATATTTGAAATGCGGCGCCAGGATTTGTTTACCCCCTTGTGGGCTGGAGGTGTGCGATATATCTAGTAGACTACCCTTGTCAGCATAACCTGCTTATTCAGCAGCATAAGTGAAAAGTTCTGTCAACAAATACGAAATCAGAAAAAATTTGTTTGCCATTTAAATTCGATTTTGATCCTATTTATCCAGTAAATTGCAGCAATTGAAAGGATTTGCGAGGGAGTCGCTGCCTGCTTGTTTGATTTTCAAATTACCTTCCAAGGATATTGGGATGGCTGACTGATGTGTGACGTTGTGACGATGTGACGATGTGATGTGGTGCAAACACTTGTTAAAGCTGATCCGAGGCTTTAAGAAATGTTCATACTCCCTCTGGGACTGTTCACCACCCTCGGTGGCAAAAGATATTGAATTTCAATAGCTGCAGCTGCAGGAAATCACTTCCTGGCGACAAAGTAGACGAAATGGAAATCAGCCAGGAAAAGGACGAAGACGCAGTCAAAGAAATCCCCAAGTGCGGGTCAAAGAAAATAAAACTTTATGCAAATGCGCCACTTTGGCCGTAAAATGAAATAGTCCCCGGCCAAATTATACCTTGATGCCTGATGAGCTTCGGTTTCGCCCTCCTGGCCTTCCTGTCTGGATCTTGGCCAATTGTCCTGGACGTGAATTGAAACAAAAGGGACTTTGTTTCGATTCCTCCCGCCCTTTCAGTAGTTTGGGAACCCGAGCAGGTGACTTCAACTTTGGAAACTTTTGCATTTTACAATATACAATTTACCTACATTTACGTTGTTCCCCAGGGGAAACTTTTCCTGCGACAATAAAACGGCCAACTTCATGCCGGAAGTTGTTACGGACACTCTGTCCGCCGTCTGTTTTTTTGGCCACTCATTATAAACATTATTATTATTATTATTATTCCAGTGCCACCGAATCCGCCTTTTCCTGCTGCGTGTTGGCTCCATTTTTGACCGGAAACGGATGCTGTTATTAATTCACATGTCCGGCAACTGATGTGGGCTATCATCAGGTATTCCCCGACTCGACTCGAAGTGCTGCACTTCTGCTTTCTCTGCTGATTCCTAATTAAATTTGCCACTTTATTTGCCCTCCTTTCTTTCTTTTCCTCATTTTCCCACTCCACTCACAGTGCCGTCTTAATTGTGTTTGTGCTACTCTATTTCATCCACTCACACAGAAACGAGAACTCATTTATGCCACACAGCTTCCTGCGTCTTGGTCCTGGATTCTCGGATTCTTGGATTCTTGGATTCTCGCTCTGAGTCTGAGGTGGCTGTTTGCGCTAAAATAATTGAATTAATAATTGCTGCGTGTGGTTTTCATGCTTTTCCAGCTAAGACAAGTAAGAATGCCTGGCATTTCTTACGGAGCGTTTCGACAATGGGATACCCAAGAAAACTTGCCTTAAAAATAAAAGAAAATATTATTTTTTAATAATGGAAACAAAATGCTTAAAATATATATAAGAAACAACAAGTCAGACATCTTTATTGAATAAAAATTAACGATTTAAAAAGTCATTTTTAAACGGACAAACTCGTATCATAATTAAATATGTTCGTTTATCAAATGTATAAGCTTGCACTATTATTAAAACTTCTATATCTGGTTTAAGTACTATAATTTAGGAAGATAGTTTACATATATTTGAATCAACACAATATACCCCTCAACTTCTCAACTGTTGGGTATAGAAAAAACCCAAAGTGCTTAAGCCTGAGCTTGGATCCGAGCGTAGTCGTGTGCAACTTTTATCTCTGGCAGCTCTTGCCGATGGAGCTGTCTTTGCCCCAATCCTCGGTGCCCCCTTTGGAGGAAAGTTGCTTGGATGCCTTTACTTGCTCACTGATTTAATAAATTAACGTTAATTAGCTGTTGTGGTCGATGGGGATGGGAAACTGGGTTAGCTTAAAAGACAATAATGCCATGGATCCGGCAACTTTAGCCCTGGCTGTACGTGATTTCCGCGGCTGCTCCAAGATTTAGCCCGTAACCCCCAGTTCGATGTGTGAATTATGAGCTGTCAGAAAAGTGAGGGGGCGTGGCATGACGGTGTGCTCAATTCGAACCGATAACTCATAAATGTAAATGGATGAGCTTCTGTTTGTTCGTGCCATTTTAATTAGCCAAATGAGTAGCCAAAGATCAGCAATGGGCTTATTTCCAGGAAGCCAAATTGAGTCAATACACAAAATGAATTCATCTCAACTTGGAGCAGTAATAAACCAGCACAAAGAATCCAATTAAAGTCACTGGCCAAGGCCGCAGGCTCTCGACTTTTGGTCAATGCAATTGCAGGGCGGTCAAGAGTGGCAGTCAAAAGTGAGCCAAGGAAGTTGACCCAAGCTGGTTGGAGCAAAGTTGCTTGAGACATTCGCCTGCGGCCCAAGGGCCATTGAGTGAGCTCTCAAGGAGCTGGCCGGCATTTAAATTGAAATTAACATCCTGTCGCAGGATCCTCACATGCGGACTCTCCTCCGAGATGTGTGCTCATTATACCAGGCAAGGCGAAGTCAAAGCCAAAGACCGAAAAGGAAAGAAAAGGAAACGGCAGCCGACGACAAAAAAGGCCAAAAGAAATACTTGCCAACAAGTGCTGGCCAAAAGCAAAAGCCGGCAACCAAAGGCAAAGCCAAAGGAAAGTGTCAAGCAAACATCTGACTAAACAAACACTATCACATGCCTGCATAATACAGTAGGAGAAAAGTGTTTTACCCAATATTGCTGATTAGCTACCATTAGTAATATTAAAACTATTGATGACTTGTTTAAATGTCAATATAATAATAATTACTTAGAGGCTTTTCAAAAGGCAATAGCCTTGAAGCTTAAAATATTTAGCCTGGAGAATTCACAAAGCAAATAATTCATGTTGAGATTAGCATAGTTTAGATTGATTTAAATAAATGAATATTTGGTTCTTATTAGATATTTTGAGTAATAATGTACTAAAATAGAAAATGCAAACATAATTTGCTAACAACTTTAAGCACCGAAATAATATACCATCTCTTGAATTTTATTGTGTATTTTGCTCAGTGTTTCATATCTTACACCCATACTTACAAAAAAAAATACCCACACATCTAGGGAGGGCGGCACACACTGGTGTAATTAAGAGGCCATTGTTATTTCGCTGACAAAAGTGAAAGATCCCATGATGGATAACAGGCGATGTTGTTGTTTTTGTCGCCTCCTTTTTGGTT